TCCCCTTCGTCTTTTTCTTTTCCCTTTCCCTTTCCCTTTCGTTTCCCCCCTTCCCGATCAATGTTGCTGCACCTCAACGTGGTGATCAGGTGACAACAAGTTTTTTTAAATGACTTGGCAACAAATTGTGGCTGTGATAAATTATATTACCTAATTTGACGCATTTGAATCATATAGTCATTATCATTAAAATAAAGTAAATAATTTTTTATGAAAGGTGCTGTACAGTTTAATTTTCATAAATTCCATAAAGTTCTTGCTAAATTGATTTTTTAATTTAAATTGAATAATTGAATAAAGTTTTTTAATTATAAGACGACGATATACTTATTCTAATTCTATAAAACCATTTCGAATTCACAATCGGTTTTCTCATGACAGTTGTAATGAGGCATTACCTGATAATGTTTTCAATAACGTATTATCCAAAAATGTTAACATGGAAAACATTAATCATGGAGATAATGATAATAATGAGTTGATATTATTGGAAGATGGTGTGGTTACCGAATCATCAGATGATGATAATGAAGAGGAAAGTAGTGGCGAAGAGGAAGATAATAACGACAAAGAGGAAGGTAGTAGTTATGAAAAGGAAGGTAACAATGATGAAGAGAAAGGTAATAACAGCGAAGATGACTGTAACAATGATGAAGAGGAAGGTAATAACAACAAAGATGACTGTAACAATGATGAAGAGGAACATAATTATGATAAAGAGAAGGGTGATGGCAACGAAGAGGAAGCAATACATCAAATTGTTGAAGCTTTGGATGAAGATAAGATACCATCCTGTGATGGCAAATTTGCTCCTTACTTTGATAATTATACAACTACAGCACTGTTCTGTTGGCTTCAAAAACATAATGTTTCTACAAAAGCATATGAAGATCTTGTTGATATCATTCACAATCCTCAATTCGAACCTACTCATGTAGTAAAAAATATCTGTAGATTCCAATCATGGAGAAAACGTCTTCCTTTCCTACCAATAATAACAAATCCTATTCAAATTTTACCAAAAAAAACTCTGTCAACTTCGTGAGGTTCGAAGCTTTCATATCAACTCTCAATTAGTGATATTATATGGCGTGTTCTCAACAATCCAATGCTGATGAAGCATATGTATATAGGAAACGGTGTTAATTCTGAAACAAAATCAGAATATTGGCATGGAACTTTATGGGGAGAATCACCACTTTTTGGACAACATGAAATAATAATATCAGAAGGTAATAGGACAATATACTTTGATATAATTATGATTTGTTAACATTAAAATATTTATTTTAATAAAATAGTAATATATCAGTCTGGTGATTTTGTCTACTATTATGATAATGGTCTTCAAAAACTTGGAAAGTTGAGAGCAATTCTGAAAGATGAAAATGGAAACTATGAGTTACGAGTTCAACTAATTTTAAATTATGATGATTTACCTGGAAATATAAAAGGGCTATCAAGAAGACGTCGTTCTCTAACTGGGGAAGTATAGTTTCAGGATGAACCATTTATAACCATAATGACCTCTCAAATTTTAGAGAAAGTAACTATAATGATGACGTATCAACACCAAATTATTCCAGAAGGTTCATTACGAATTACTGAAATAATTTATAAATATAATGACCGTTGGCACATTCGTGATGCAAAGCTTTCATACCAACATCCTTCAGATTACATTTCTGTCAGAAATCAACCATAGTCTATGCCAGTTTATAAGCTGTTTTTAGATCTTTACTATGATGATTTTGGTACATTTAGAAATGTATACCATTCCTTAGGTGACGTCTATATACAGTTTGGTAACATGCCAAAGCATCAAAAAAAGCTAATCAAGAACCATTTTGTTCTTAGATTTATTCCATTTGGAGGAAATTTTAAAAAGTTTATAGTACCATTTGTTTCAGAAATAAAAAAATTTGAGAAAGGAAAGATTATGACAGTTCAAGAACAAGATGCATGGATAATTGCTGGGTTGGACCTTGTTACAGCAAATCTACCTCAAGGTAATGATATGGCAGGAGTACTAAGGTATTTTTCAATTTAATTATTAATCTTAATAATATATTTTCATAACAACTATTAAAATGATTTAAATTTAAAAATCAATTTAGAAATAATGCAAATAAAAGTTGCCATACTTGTACAACTAAAAAGGAATAATTGAGTACCTATAATCAGGATAGTGTGACAACATTACGTTATCATCATATCACAGATGAAGAAATTTCAAAAATTTCTCAAGAATCTGTAAGTTCAAAAAGAGGACAACTTTGTACAGAATATGGTTTAAGATCATTACCTAGTATTTTGGATAAATTAAAACGTGAGAGATATTTACAGATGCCACAGGATATTTATCATGCCACCGCAGGAAAGATTGGACGGCTACTAAAACTAACCTGTGAATTATTTTCACAAGAAGGAGAGGATGATTTTGTTAAAATTTGGAAAAATTTTGAAATTCCAAAAAAGTGGTCTCGTCTACCAAATCCAATTAGTCATTACAATAGCTTTATGATGTCTGATCTTCTTAGACTAGCTATGATTATGCCATTTTTATTAAATCGATTTTTAAAGGAATCAAGCCTCAAAAATAATGAAGCAGCCACTATTCGACAAAGGATTGATGTGGCTCGAATTAGCTTAGTGCTAAAAGCTATTATATCTTGTTGGGTACAAGTTGCAAAGACTATGAAAGCAGTTTTTAATAAGGAATTTACGTTAGATAGCTATGAAAAATTACAGCTATGTCTTAAAGAAGAGTTTTTAATTCTTCCAAAGGTATAATTATAAATTTGAAATTCAGAACATGGAATAATTTAATAATTAACAATATTTTGTTTTTTTATAGGTTTTTGCAAGTTTTGTTAACTTACCAAATATACATATTAATATGCATCTTTTGATGCATGCTAAAACTTTTGGTACACTTGTCAAATATCAGGTTGGTATAAAAGAGATGGTTAATCGTATCTTTAAAGGAATGGTACCAAAAACTAATTGCAAAACTATAGACCTGGATTTATTAAAACGTTACAATACTTTATTTGCAATTCGACATTTAGCAGATGGAGGTATAGATCCAAGATTAAATAGATCTTGTACTGGGTTCACAAGTTCAAATTTTGATCAATTATTTTCGAATTGGTATGTTACAGAAGATAAATATTTAATTGAGGAACAAATTCAAAATGATGACGTAAAAGGTAAGATAGCAAAATATTATAGTACTTCATATTTATTTTTTCACATATGCATAATAT